TTACGTAGTTTTTTTTTCTTCTTCCCTATCGTTCAGTATCACGTAGTAAATGATCATTAAATGAATTACTATTTTAATTTATATACTAAATTTATATCTAAATACATTTTTTTTTTGAATTTCGAAAAGAAAAGAAAGAATTTTCTTTCTTTATACTGCATGAATGATGCCTATAAACACATACAGTCGCCATACGATTCACATGGTAATCGAAATAATAAAATTACGGATAAAAAGAAAGACAAATATATTGTTTAAAGATCTTTTGTTTAATTCTTTGTTAGGTATACAATCGTCGAACGATGTAAGAGCATCATAGTGTTCCATTACACTTTCATGTTTTTTCATTGTTGGTAATTTGAGAACTGAAAAAAAACATTCAAACAATTGTTCGACGTTCTTTTTTTTATTTTACATAAACATATAGAATAGCAAAAAATGCTCTTCGAATTTGTTTTGGATTAAAATTAACTATAGAAAACAATCGAGTCGACTTAAGAGAAGGTCCACCAGCCCATACAGAATTCATGTCATACGGTGAAATTTGCAATTTGAACCTCACTATATCCATTCGATAGATCGTGTGTAAAAACCTTCGTAGCCAAGTTTTTACACCAAACAAAAAAACTTTCACCGAGATATGAGATTTGAAAAAAAATAGCTTTTTTCCTGTTTTGCTAAAATCAAGACATATTTTCTTTTGCTTTTTTTCTAAGGCATTTTGAGTTCAATTCTTTCTATTAAGGTCTCATTTGAAAGAGCAAAGAAAACTGAACAATCTAGAATTCTTTTCACATCTCGAACATTATATTTAAGGATCCAAAGATTCCAAAGACCTAAAATGGAAAACCTAGGTTTTCGAGTTTTTGCTAAAAATCGGGATGCTAGAGTTTTTATACCAGAAATTTTAGAAGCCAATCTTGTAGAGAATAAAATTCTCTACAAGATACACTATAGGTTGTATCGTTAGAAGGCGGGTAAAGTACTCAAAAATGCAACATACTGATCATGACTACTGAGATCAAAAATTTCAAAATTCTGAAATTTTTTTTTTCGGATTTTTAATGATAAATTCGAGCGAAACTAAGGTTAAGCAGGTCGAAGATTGCTCGACGAAGAGTTTTGAAATATGTTCTCAATCAATTGCACGAGCTGCTGCTGTTTCATCATAAGACATTATTATGCTACACGAGCATACCAAAATGTATATCATCTCCTTTATTCTTTCTGTTCTCGTTCGTCGAAGTTGGACGTTATCATGTCTTGTTGATGTGATTTTCTTCTCTCTCGCCTCCTGACGACAGATACGCTGATATATATATAGCGTAAAAAGTGTGTTTCTTCTCTTCCCCTCATCTGCTTGTTGCATGAATAGATGAACTATAAACTGTGAGCTTATCTGATCTCTTCACTCAGTTATTTTGAACGATACGGCATAAAAAAGGAATAATGATTGAGTGGGGAAGAGATTGATATGCACTACATTCACACACTCACATAATAACTATTTTCCTCTTATCCATATTCTCTTGATGCGATAAATCGATGAACTGTGAACCAAATAAAAAAGACAAAATGAAAAGCAAAAAGAAGAGATGATAGAGAGAGAGAGAGAGAGAGAAACTTTCAATCATAATATGAACGTCTCGCAATTAAATTATTACTTATTGTTGTGATACTCAATCGCTTTACTTTGCCACGACTGCTTGGTTATTTTTCGTCGTACTGTCCGAATGGCTGAAAAGGTGACCTGTTTGGTAAATGATGATGAGTGCGATTGGGATGAGAATAATACTCTCTCATGTGTCAAGTTGATTGACAAAAGAAGTTGAACAAACCACAGTTTCCAAAGGTGCGTACGGAAGCTCAATCAATATTGTATCGAGCCAATATCGATGAAGAATTGAAGGTCGATTTGAATAAAACATTCATCTGTGGTCGTCATATAGGGTGGATAACGTATATCCGAATGATGATGCATACACACATAAGTTGAAGAGAAGAGATAAAATAAAGATGTATGTTAGAGTGCTCTCTAACAGGTTCTATAAGTAAACATTCTTTTTCAAACAAGAAAACAAATCATTTCCTTCAATGAAACTTCTCACGTGATTCGAACCAGATAAAAACCGACCTAAGACCGCCATTTGTTTGAAAACGTTGTATTATAGTGTATTGTATCAAAACGGTTGAATATTTTTGAAGTTGGTAAAAAAGTGACAAAATTCAATCGGTTTCAATTCACTCAGATTACCTTGATACGCCTGAACGATGTGTATGAACCACAGAGCCAAAGTTGGCCCCAATTGTTGAGATGAATTTTTTGTCATAGATGGCACTGCAAAACTTTTTATTAGTAAAATATATTGTGAAACTGTGTTTTTCTCGATTAACTTGAATTTGTGTAGAAAGCACTCTCTGAAATTGTTTATAGCTGGAACTGAAAATTGTAAGATGGTATACCGGTGTTACTACGAACAAGCGTGTGCGGCAACAGTTGTTACAGAATTCATGACTGCATGGTGAAAAAGTCTTCAGCCACGAAAAAACAAAAAGCATGTTTTGAATGTCATATTTGACTTTTTTTGAGGAAAATACTCACTTACTTTAATTGATAAGAAGGAAAGAATTGAGAAACTTAAAAAAAAAACATATCAATCAGTAATCACATTGATGGAGTAATTCCATACGTAAGGTTTCATCACAAAATACATGCCTTGAAATGTTAATTTTTATTAAAAAAAGATCTATTTTTATTTATAAAGAAGGCGCAGGAAGCATCCAAAAAATCCTGTCAAAAATCGCCCATTTGCTAACTAACTGTTTGAAACGAACGAGAAGAGTTGATATTAAAAATTGATTTAATATTTAAAAAATACAGTGACATACTAGAATCCATTATTATAATTGATACACCATCTGTTTTTTTAACATGTTTCATTGCATCGTCAGCTACAAAAAGCAATCAAGAATTCACACCCACGGCTTATACGGCATATTTTACAAAGTGAACTCCCATTTCAGATATTTACAAGAAAATCCATCTAACTATCACATGATACACAACTCAACATCAAGCAGAAAAGTGCAAAAGATGATGCTTTTCTTACTCTTACAGCCCAGAGATGAACGAGGCAACATCACGCTCTTCGCCATTTCACTACTTAAGAATTCCTGAACGATTACTGAAGAAATAAATTAACTGCAGAGAAGCGCATTCACAAGGTTAAACCTCTAGAAGAAACGTGTGATATTCCCACACGTGAGCAATAGCACTGGACAGCGCGACATTGTCTTGCGAATGTCTGTTGCAGCATTATATTCAATGAAATAAACACGTCACACACACACACCATGAAAATATACTAGGAAATACAAAGAATATCAATTCCATACTGGCCCTATTAGTAAATGAGAAGGGGGAGGTTGCTAATCGGCGAAAGGCTTTTCAGCGAATGAAAACAGCGAAAAGAAAATTGAGCAAAGAAATTTTGAGCGAAAACACTATTAAGCGAAGAAGCAAATTGGCGAAAGGACGTATCAGCGAAGAAGTAAATCAGCGAAAAGCAGAGTGAGCGAATTTTTTTCGCAATAATAAAAAAGAAAATTTAAATAGAAGAAACTTTATTCATAATCAAATAGAAAATAGATTTGAACGAGCTAATTCTTCTTCATATATTTTAGGTATAAAATTAGTTTCCGATTGTACTATATCTTTTACTTTTTAACTTAAGTTTCGAAGTTCGATTTGTTCTGGATTAGGTATATGATAATGATGACGATTAGCTTTAGGAAATTCGTCGCTTTTGTTTGTGTGAATGGTAACCAAACAGCCATCACTATGACAAGCCCAATATTTTACTTTCTCCGTCGACTTTTTAAGTCGATGAATATATCCTGAGTAAACGAGCAAAGGCTTGCCTCGATTCGAAGTGATAAAAGAGATCGATGGTAGATCGGTCATACTTAGTTTAGTTAAATAAATAAATAAAATGATGTACGTAGTAGGGACGTATGATCTATAAAAGAATGCGTGTGATAAAAGATAAGGAAACAATCGATTATTTCGTCTGTACAAGTACAAGAGAGAAGGAAATAATAAATAAGGACGGTTACTGGTAAATATATTAAACACGATGAATTATTCTCATAAATCGGTAGATGGAGCTCACCACGAAAACAAATTCGCTGAAAGTTTTTTCGCTATGTCTTATTTTTCGCTGTTTTGCTCTTTCGCTAATTTAGTTTTTCGCTGAAAAAGTCATTTGCTGAAATGCTTTTCGCTGAAACGACACCATTTCACGAGAAGATATCAATTTTCATAGAAATAGTCTATTTCAATTAATATGAATTTATTTGAGCCTTAAATTTTGATTTCAATTGAGTTTAATATTATATTCAATTTAATACATTGTAAATATATAGTTTACGTGACAATATGTCTTTTTTTTACACGTTTCTTTGCAATTATATGATATGAGTATTGATTATTAGTCACACCAAGCGAGCTAGTCTTTTTTCGTTCTTCACCTGTTTTGTTTTCTAAAACATGTTTACCTTCAAACTATCGGTTTGTATGTGTCATATAGCGTCTATTGAGCAAAAATAAAGATAAACAATTTTGCTTTCATTTGATCAGAAAAGAAAAATAGAGTATACTATTTTGTACGAAATATTTATCATGATTTCAATATAATATTCTTTTACCATCTTTCTATTTCTGTCCATCACGAAGAACGAAATATTATTATTTTTTTGTTCTATAAATAATATTAATCATAGTGTTACATAAAAAACTAATCGCTAACCTTACCTTTTTTTCTTCATAATGATTTTATTTGCTCCTTGTTATTTATTTTGCAAGATGTGTTGCGATAGTCATCACTTGTCAATTTAGACAAGACAAAAATAGAAAAAAGGTAAACATATATACATCATTCCTTCATTACACCATATAACGCAATTTGGAGAGCAGTTCTTATTTACAATTGATATATACAATGGATCGTATTCGTTGGAGCGAAAAACTAATTCCATTTCGAAGTCTTGTAAATAATCCAGCTATAACAAAGCCTGTACTTGGTGAATATTTTCTAATTATTTTTTTTGAAAGAAACCTTGTTTTTTTTTCTTATTTACTAAGTCCAAATTGGTAGCAAAGCTATTGTGGTTGGAGAAAAAATCAATGGAGAATTTCTTATGGCATCACCTTCTAAAGTATCTGGTGATCGATTTGATGTTATGGAACAAGAAATTGTTTTATCAAGCAAACATACCGGTTTTTTTTTCTGTACATATAAAAAGACATTATCGAATAGCTTGATTTTAGGTGTCTGGAGAGTTATATCAAAAGCAACATCCAGCAAAGAAGGTCATGTTCATCGTTTAACTACGAAGGACCTTGAAAGAATTCACAAACAAGATATTCTTAATGAGCGTGCCACTCCTCGTTCATATATCTGCATACGAGATGTTGAAGCATTTGAATTGATGATTCATAGTAACGGTAATAATATGACTTTTTTCTTTGTCTAATTCAACTTCTTTCTTTTTGTTTGTTTTATCTAGATGAATCAGTTTTTAATGGCCATCGAGTTGATCGACGTATGAAACTAATTGAAGAGAATGTTGAATTTGAAATATATGATACCAGTGAAGTTGAATATACACCATCCGAAGGTGAACGTACATCACAAGATTATGTAATAGCACCAAAAGCTAAACAAGCAACACTTTTACAACTTCTTTTACCCGGTGTTGTGGCACAAGAACAACTCATACGTAATCGTGTTGTACGTGCAATTCATTGTAAAACAAAAGGTGAAACACGAAAACGTCATTTTCTTCTTGAAGTTAATGAGCAACCCTGTGAAATACGTCCAATTGCATCAGATGGATCAACTGAATTACGTTATCTTCATTCAACACAAAATCTATATGATTATATGTCAAGTTATGGAAATGATACAATTCTTTATGTTAAATTACTACGAGGTAAAATATTGTTTTGTTTAAAAATCATTTTAAAATATATTCTTTTAGGTGATCCACCAATGAAAGCAATTGAATTCGATGGTTATATGGTTTTAAAAAGTACATTAAATGGTGATAAAATTCCAATATGTCGTGTTGAAGATCTTGAAGTAACACTTGTTAGTGCAGATCTTCCTGTTAAAGTTCGATTACCAACAAGAAATGAACATATCTGGCGTTCATTATCTGAAGTTCGTGCAGCTGAAATTCAATGTATGCAATTATCACTTGCTTTACTTGCTCGGCATGAATCTGAAATGTATGTTACAACGGAAACACCAAGAAATACTAAAAAGTATTTAGAATCAACTTATAATCAACAATTAAGAACAACTAATTCTCATAAATCATCTAATGCAATTAAAAAGCATATTGAAGAATGTGAAAAAGTTTTTGGAAATAATAATAATAATAATAATAATAATAATATTACAAGACAAAGATCGAACCCTAAAGATGATTTACGTGCATATCAAACAACCGAAAAACAAGTACACAATTCTCAAAGACATAATTCTACTCAACATAATTCTACTCAACAGAATTCTATTCAACATAATTCTACTAAACATAATTCGACTCATCATAATTCTACTCATCATCATCATCATCATCAACATCAACAACAACCTTCATCAATACCTCACGATGTATTAGGTAAAACAATGTCACATGCATCACATGCTTCTTCTAATAAACCCAGTCGAACCATTGATAGACGATCAACATTGAGGGAACATACCGAACAAGATGAATCATATAATCGTTTTCATCGAACGACTATTAGCAAAAATCCAAAACCTTCTGCTTCTTCCTCTTCACAAAATCATAAAACGCAAAAACAAATGTGAATTAAAAACAAGAAAAATAAACAAATAACGAACTCAGAAAAAAATTTCTACTTGTTTTTTTTGTATCTTCTTTGAAAATAAATTATGTTGTTCGACAATTGTTTTTTTCACATCGACACGTGTCAGCAAAAACACGCAAGTTTATAGAGATGTTGGCGTAAAAAGAATAAAGAAAGAAAAACATTTGTGCAAACAATTTGTTGCATTAGAAACGTATATAAAAGAAAAAACAACTATTAAAGTGAAAATATCAACAAAATAAGTTATATTTGAATTGTTTAGTTGTAAATAATAGGGATATAATATTCAATTTCTTTTCTTTTTCTTGTCAAATAAAAACTTTTATTACTATAAGAAAATGAAAATTATTATCGAACGAACGGAAAGATGTAAATCTCATTTTTATTAAAATAAAAACACATTCTCTTAGTTATTTTATTTGCCTCTATTTTTTTTTCTTTCTTTTCTTTCTTTTCTTCCTCGCAGCAACGTAGATAAGTATTGAAACTGTTGTAACATGCATATAAATTGTCGTCATTTTTATTCAAAGTCATTTAAACTCACATCATGCCTCACAATATTATGCGAGATCCATGTCGGTAAGGAAAAATGAAACATTAGTTTAACAATTAATAAAAAAAAAGAAATAATTTCAGAATTGATTCAGACAGTGAAGATGAACCAGATAAACGATTACGTACACAAATACAAGTGACAACAAGACCATCAACACCTAAAGTAATAAAAATATAATATTTGATTCAATTATTATTTTTTATTTTTTATTTTAAGGTTGTACCAAAACGATCTCCACCAAGAATCGTCGATTGGAATGCACCATCAAACGAATCACTCCCTGATAGTATGATATCAAAATTTTCTGTTAAATGAATCATATCCTTATTGAATATAGAAAAAAAACATTCTGATAAAACACTGAATCCATCGAATGACAATATGGCTTTATCATCAACAGATCGAATATCATCATCATCATCATCAGGTTCGTTGTTAGAGCCCAATCAACAACTCAATCGATCGGAATCTTCTAATACTACTACTACTACTACTACTACTCCTACTCCTAAATCTCCTTCTGTTCGTATCAACGTGTTGACTGGATTTTATATTGTTATATTGATTCATTCTTAGGTATCTTCGACTGACTTTGATCCGATTGCATTAATTCAAGAAGATCTAACTAAATTTATCTATATGCATGTTCCAAAAGAATATTCATCATTTGTACAATGTCGTCTTCGACGTGATACAGATGGTGTACAAAAAGGATTTTTTCCAACGTTTTATTTGCAAGCTGAACGTCCAGGGGATAAAAAAAAGGTATTAATAAGAAAATAATAATCTTCTTTTTTTATTAAATTTTACTTTTTCTCTTTTGTTTTTATAGGTTTTTTTATTAGCTGCACGTAAAATAGCGAAAGTAAATCGTCAAACAGAATACATAATTACAACTAATGTTGAAACTTTATCGAGAAATTCAGGTGGTGATGGTTGTGTTGGTAAATTACGAGGAAATAATTTAAGTGGAACTGAATATACACTTTATGATGATGGTTTAAGTCCAAATAAATCTTCTAGTAAACATTTAACTAATAAAGAAAGTTTACGACGTGAATTGGCAGCTATTGTTTATGTAAGTATATATATATACGCTACTGGCCATAAATCCCTGGATGTGCGATACTCCCTCATAACTTCAATAATTTTCCACGAAATTTTTACCAGAGATAGAGCTTAAAAAACTGTGATCGCAAGCGCCAACCCGAGCTCTATCGACTGATATAGTATGGAGTTATGATTCAAACATTAGTTTCACCTCTGTTTACTTATTAATCAATATTCACAGTTTTTATGGAAAAACATTCGAGATACTAGAGGTCTTGTTTAATCTTTAGGTTGTTTCGTAAGTTGTTACAGGAATACGCAGTGGGCATTTATTGCTCAATAAAGGCATCTCTAGAGAATAGTAGACTAATATTAACGAGCTCAGAAACAACTTAGAGATTAAACAAGTCTTCTAGCATCGCGATTGTTTTTCCATAAAAACTGTGAATATTGATTTACAAGTAAACAGACATGAAACTAATGTTTGAATCATAACTCCATACTATATCAGTCGATAGAGCTCGGGTTGGTTCTTGCGATCACAGTTTTTTAAGCTCTATCTCTGGTAAAAATTTCGTGGAAAATTATTGAAGTTATGAGAGAGTATCGCACATCCAGGGACTTATGGCCAGTAGTGTATATACATATATCTAGCATTCTTTTCTAGGGAATCAAAGTCTAAACTAAAAGCCATATGTTTTGACAGGAAGTAACTTATGTAGTCTACTAATTTAAATATCAATATTTGAACAAAACAAATTATTATTTGTAGAAGTATTTTATAGAAAAATATATAATGATATCGTAAATATAGAAATTTTTTTGCCTAGATATTGAGCATATGATTAAGAAAATCTATTTGATTTTGATGGAAATTGGTCGAGATCCAAAGAGGAAACAGCAGATATTTCACCGTCATACCTGAGATGAGAGAATCTCTTCAGACGTTTCTTTCCAATTGCAATGATATTTGCCTATAGATACTAAATAGTTTTCTAATAAAAATCCTTAAAATATTTGAGCTTGACTAAACTATCGAACTTTTTTTTTTTTTTGAGTTCTCATATTTTTTTGAAAAGTCATATTTTCGAATTTTGATCTGAAATCTTGCTCGTGTATACAACATAAATGCTTTTCTAGCAGAGACTTGAGTCATCCATTCTTGTGATATGCTCCAGAGTTTCATAACGTCTTGAAGACCACTGTTTCACCGACGAGATTATTAGAATAATAAATTATTAATTTTTTATTTCTAAGTGAATTTTATTAATCCAAAACCAAACTCAACACCTGCTCTTCATATGTTATTTTTAATAAAGATATACACATCTTTACATTATACTTGTTATATTTAATTGCACATCAAGATTTCGAAAATAAAATATTTCTAAATTGCTCTAGTTAATTTTAAAACATTCTTTATATAAAAAAAAGAAACAAGTAAATACTAAATTCTTCTTCAAGATAAATAAGACTAGTAGTACGCATATATTTCAAGTCAATCGATTCCTATTATTTCTGCAAGTTGTTAAGAATCCCATGTGAGCTCTGAAATTCGGAATTTCTATATAGTCACTAGTAGAGTTCGAGGGTTCCGAATTACTCTTACAATTAGTAGAATTGAAAAGAATTAATAGATCTGCTTTTTTTTTCGAAATTTCAAAATTCTATTTCTCCATATTGCTCATGGTTATATTTTATTAAACAAGTAATTTGTTTAATAAAATTAAAATCAAAAGGATACAGAATAACTTAATTTCAGCCAAAGTTGTGATAGTAACATATATGGTTTCACAAATATTAAGTTTTTCTTTTTGTCATGACTTTGAATCTTCTCTATGTACTTTTCTTTCATTAATAAGGGATCGTTCATGTCACTACAGATTAATCTTTGACACACTCTCCAAGCATAAACTTACATGAGTAAATAATGCTTCTTGAGTAGTTTTTATAAATGTACGTAAAGATAGACATAAAATGAACTTGTTCGTGTAGCATTCTAATGAAAACCCTACTACAGGAGCACTCATAATGATTGCTTGATTAGATCGAAGTGATGTTTATAGTGTTTTCATAGATTAGTTAAATGAGTCGGCAGAAAAATTTTAAAGTCAGTAACTAAGTTACCCAACAAGTATTTTTAATTACTAAATAACAGGAAAGTTACTGAGACGTATTACATAGTAATAAGGTATTCAAAAATATAGCTAAGGCATTCTGAATTTAATACTTTCAATCCAATTTTATTTATCAAATTATAGATGTCAAAGTTAAGCAATCACTGATTAGAAAGCAAGCAATTCTTCCTAAAGCTCTACAAAATAAAAACTAATTCATTTTTTTTGCTTTTCTACTTTTAGAATGTGAATATTTTTGGTATTAAAGGACCAAGACAGGTGAGTGCTATGTTACCTGAACTTGGACATGATATTCGACCAACAAAAGTATATTAAATAAAATCTCTTGTACATTTCAATTCAATTACTTTATATTAATATCTAGGATGAAGATGGCATTCTTGATCAATGGCGTGATAGACGTTTAAATTATTTAATTCAATTACGAAATAGATCACCAAAATATAATGAAGGTAAAAGAATTGTTTTTGCAAGATTAAATATTTTTTTTTTCTTTTGTATTTATATAGATACAAAAACTTATGTTCTTCAATTTATGGGTAATCGTGTAGCACAAGCATCGGTGAAAAATTTTCAAATGATTATCGAAAATGAAAATCGTATGTTTAATTTATTTTAAATTTGCTATAATATAATTTATACGTTATTTAGATGAGGAAGAAGTTGTTATGCAATTTGGTCGTGTTGATAAAGAAATATTTACATGCGATTTTCGTTATCCACTTTCAGCTATTCAAGCATTTGCCATTGCTCTTAGTTCGTTTGATAGTCATATTGTACGAGAATAATTATTGTTTGAATTATTTATACTGAAACAATTGATAAACGATAGAAAATATATCGATAAATATATATAAAAGTTCTTTTTTTTTTGTTGGAAACGATTGTCATTAATAAAAAAAAATTAAAGAAGCAAATAAATAAAAAGTAAAGATAGATTTTAAACAAATCGAGTTCAATTCGATTAAAACAATAAATTAATTTTGATTTTATTAGAATTCTTGATATGAACAATAAATCGGTTCATCGTTCATATACATATGTGTTCAATTATCATTAGTCTATAACTAATTGATAGTATATTATAATTTTAGAAGTTTTAAATTTTAATTCAGTATACATTCTATTCAATTTGGTATAAACTCGTCTTGAATGACGCTTTAGTTTCAAATAAAGTTATTCAAAAAACAGATTTTCCTGTGCAAACAGCTCCCTCTTTCGGAAACTAAACCTATTCTTTCCAATAAGATAGAAGAAACAACTCGATATAAACACGATGGATGGATGTATCTGTTTGTGTGTGTGTGTTTGTCCGACCGACCGTTTGTTTTGTTTATTGTTTGAATCACATCATTGTTTTATCAGTCCACATAGATATCATCATATCATATCAATAGTTTAACTTGTTTTATATGGAATGCGATATTTATTTCATCATTCCTAAATACATTCATTATATGAATATTTACGTCGATGAAATTGGACAAAAAAAAAACAACATAGTTTTTGATTTGAGTCGAGTCTTTTTTCAGATTAACTTGTTAGTCTATTCTTAGACTTAAATCTTTCTAGATGGCCGCCGTTAATGTATATCATACAAGTGTAACAACAGACAATCTTAGTCGTAATGATATTCTACAATGGATAAATACAGCACTTGAAGCTAATTTTACTAAAATTGAAGATCTTTGTACCGGTAAGATTAGGAATGAATTTTTTCATTAATAAAAAAAGTAAATAAACAATTTTTTTATTGTTTAGGTGCTGCGTATTGTCAATTTATGGAAATGATGTTTCCAGGTAAATTAATTAATTATATGAATATACCGATGCTTTAAAAATTATTCGTACAATTTCAATGATGATAACATTTTTCGTTAGTCTTAATTTCAAAAAATATAATTATTAAATGCAGGAAAGAACAACTGACACATTCGTGATATTGTCTTTGCAATGCCATTTTAGTGCATAAGCAGATTTAGTTATTCAAAAATTGTGAATCTCTATTTTAAGTCATTTTTATCAAGAAATTGAAAATCGACATGGCCACGCATCGGTCACCCTCGCATGGAGAAGGTTTAAACTCACAAAAATAAAAAAAATTCTCTCTGAAATCAAAAGTGCACCACTGACAGTTTATGAAACATGTTGCAAGCTTCAAGATACTTTGTTGACCAGCGATATAAACCTTTATTTTTATCCGACAATCGTCCAAAAAGAAATTCTTTGACTAATCTTATCAAAAAAATTGAGTATTGAGTTCCACTACATTTCATTTTTTTTCTGAAAAATCGATAGAATTCTTAATGTTATTTCGTTGTGTGAGTGAAAGTGGCATACTCGAACAGTAGAACTGTCTGTGTACTGCTCTTTGATTGGAAAAAAGATGAGTTTATATCGTGATAATTGGAAATTTCGAGATATCAAACTTTCCCCAATAGAAAATCGAAAAAAAGACGAAATTCCGTAATGGACAGCGTTTACAGGTTTTTGTTTGATTTAATTATACTCTGTTTAGAAATGAACTGATATTCTGAAAGCTTGTGGAAACCTGAACAATTTGTATACAGGGTGTTTAGTTATATGTCACTTCGTTGTGCAGTAAAATGCTTAACTCTCCAGTCACTCTAAACAAAAATTTCCATTTTTTGAAATTCAGTAACGGTCAGAATTTTTTTAATAGCTCAGCCTTACCTGCCTAGAAATCGATAAAATTTTTATTGATAATAGATCTAAATAGTCTCTATATATGATAAAAATTTCAGGGGATTTGCTTTTATCGTTGATGAGACATAAGTTTTACAATGTGAAAAAATGAAATTCCGTAACGCGTGACCATGCCGAAATCTTTTTTCAAAATATTGTTTGTGCATGTCTGATAATGAGAATCCTATTTTTGATGGATACTTTCCTGGTCAGTCAACGACAAAAAACCTAATGAACTCAATGAACTTGTTTTCGTCTGTAGAATTTTGTAGAGCTTGTTGTGCTGATTATTTTCTTAGAAAAAAAATACTCAAGAATTTGGACTATTTCTGACTCTTGCTGAGCAGTAGTTGATATTTGACAGTATTTTGACCCTAGCACCATGACTTATTTAGTAAATTTGAATATTTTTTTTTTGACCAAAATAACCAGCACAACGAGCTCTGAAAAGTTATATAGACGGAGAAATCTATTGAGAACTGTGTAGTTTTTGTGGTTCGCAAGCATTTTTTCATTGGTAGATATATATTTTTCTATTTTTGTTCGATAGCTGTGGTCAAAATGTTTAACAGCTCACTTCACTAGCAATACTTTATTTTGAAATAACAAAATGTTATGTTTTTTCCGAAACTGTCCGATGGCATCTAGTGATGAAAAATGATGTCAGTACCGTATCGGTCGTTCTTTTTGTTTGACATACTCTTGTAATCGCCTTCCTATTGGTGAGTCAAACTCTTCAGCTGCCCTCTTTCGATTTCAATAACCTTTGCCTATAGATGCTAAATTGTGTTCCAATAAAAGTCCTAAAAGGGTATGCGTTTGAATAAGTTATCGAGTTTTTTAGGAAGACCTTTGGCGTTCAAAAAACTCGTTTTGTCGAGTTTTGGTCTAAAACTTTGTGCATATAGAGTACTTAATTAGGCTAGATTCTATAAAAAAATTACAAGTTTCGAACAAAGTCTCTTCGATATATGAAGCTTGCAAAAAATGCATGTTGTATACACCATCCATGGAAAATGGTCTATATCTTAAAAGTTTCATATCTCAAAGAGATTGTTGAAAATTTGTAAATGTTTTTATGGAAGCTAGTCTAGTTGAGTTCTCTACCAGTGTCGGTATGATTTTCAGACCGGTTTCATCTTTTGTCCAATTGAATCCCAAACTTATTCATTACGAAGAAAATAGTACGAGCGTGTCACTTGTTTTTTCCTGCATCTGATGACTTCATAGTTATATTTTTTTGAAACGAGCAATAACGAAAAATGTCATTGTTATCGAAATCGTACGAATTATTTGTGCCGCACTTGTATATAGTTACAATTAATATATTAACAATTGGTTAATATTTTAAATTTCTAGGTGCCATTGGTACACGATCAAAACGGGTCAAATGGAATACAAAACTTGAGCATGAATATATTAATAATTTTAAAGTACTACAAGAATATTTTAAAGCACTTGCAGTAGATAAGGTAGTATATTGTTTTTTAGATAGAAAGCATAATTAATCTCTTTTTTACCAATAAATAGATGTTGTTGAGTTCATTTACAAAATAAAATAATACAAATTGTTCTAGGCTCATTATAGCAACAAAAAATATTGTTCGTGCGCTCTAAATTGATAAGATAATTTAACAGAAATAAAACGAGAGATTACTTATGTGTTTGTCTAATTGTCTCTTATATATTAATAAATATTTATGTATAATAGATTGTACCTGTTGAAAAATTAGTCAAAGGAAAATTTCAAGATAATTTTGAATTTGTTCAATGGTTTAAAAAATTCTTTGATGCTAATTACACTGCTGCACATGATTATGATCCTGTAGCTGCTAGAGATGGACAGTAAGTTATAATAATATTTTATTGATGTTTTCTTTAAGTATACTGAATTATAATGCTATTTTTTTAAAGACCATTAGGTAATGGCAAAACAAGTGGTTCTGGTTCAGGTATTCGTGCACCACCTGCTTCTCGACCGCCACCACCACCACCGGCACCAGTACGAACTGCTCCACCAGCAACAAGAGCACCAGTTACCAGTAAGTTTCATTCAAAAAATGCTATACTACATCAATGAGTAAGCAGCGATTTCTACATCATGAAACTATATAATTGCTGCAAATATTGTAAAAAGTTTATTATCACAATGATCACGACTTGAATAAGATCGGACACTTATAGTGCTTGAAAAAATAGTATAAGAGATAAGTCGAATTACTTGTTCAACCGGCAGGCAAGATACATTCGTAGGTATTCCCACTTCTCAAGGACTATTATTCATTAACAAAAACTTTTAAGTACTCATGTCACTTAATGCTGCTGATAGTGCAGGCGACCTTTAACCTACATGAAGAAGTCATTGAAACGAATAAATACTCTGATTTTATTTATTTGCTAAATAGAAGTTCAAAAACATTTGCGTAATCAAAGCTCTTGATTGTTGCCAGTTGAAAACCCACGAACGACATTTTAGCGAAAAATCAGAACAAAATCGATAACGAAGGATTAGGATCAGATTGATTGTTTCCTTAGGTGAAAAACCCTTCCTTGAAAAAAAAAGACATAAAGTTCAGGTCGGTGAGTCGGACAGATGTTTAGACCCACTAGTCTTCATTGGTGAGACCTGTCCGAGCCAGAAGAAAGACTTCTCAGAGCCGAGTAGTTCGTTTCGATCGTAATGACTTGTCGTTTCTTGTTTTCTACTACAGTTGAAGAAATATAAATTGATTTTCATTTAGTCAAGAACAAATTATATGAAGTCAAACAATTTTCTCTTATTACATCTCATTTCATAAATATTTATTTAAGAATAGCTCTATTTGGAATTAGATCAAGATGATCTAGAATGAAATTGTAATTTAATTCCGATATTCGGCTTTTTACTTCAATATCGAAAAAAAAAACAAATTTGCAATATATGTTAATTTATAGTATACAATTTGTTCTAGCTAAACCAATGCAACAACATCAACAAAAAATTTCTCCATCAACTCATCGTCCTGTCGGAGCTGGACATCATGTTGATCCTCATCACGGGTTACATAGTAATGAAAATATTAGGTTACAACAAGAAGTAAATATTTTATTTAGTTTCTTTATAAACGAAAAAAACTTATATTAATTAGATTGATACATTACAAGAAATAGTTCAACAACATGCAACACAAATAGCTGGTCTTGAAAAAGAACGTGATTTTTATTATCAAAAATTACGTGATGTAGAAGTTATTTGTCAAGAACCAGAATGTGAATCATTACCACAAATACAAAAAATTCTTGAAATACTTTATGCTACAGAAGTATGTAGAAAAATTTATTTATTTTTTTTACACTCATTTTAGAAAAAATAAAAATCATCGATATATTTTTCAAGGAAGGTTTTGAGATACCCACTGATAATGAAGAACAACAAAACGTCGAACAAGAATTTTAATGAGGGGGTGTGTTTTTGCATTAGTCAGCTTTTCCTTGTATCACCCGTACTGCTTATATTTGTGTGTTCTTTATTTTTGTTTACGAATTATTACTTATTTATTCTTCTGTCTTTCAATTTAAGGAGGGTTTTGCGCAACCCGATCAAGAGAACGGTGCTGGTGACTTAGATGATGCAAATGGTTTGACTGTCGGTAACAATGGTAACGGTTCTGCTCTTGTTGGTGGCGATGACGATACATATTAAGAAACTTTTATACGTCTTTTTTCTGTTCTTCTTGATGACCAATGCTTATTTCTTTCTTCTATGGTGTAACTAAGTTCTTCTTTTTTTTTCTATAAATAGACACGCATGTTATCTTTATTCGATTCTTTGTATCATGACGTATGTGTGTGTGTGTGTGTGTCTGTATGCAACTCTATACAAAAAAAAAATAAAATAAAAGAATATGTTTATTAAAATTGATTATATAAAGAAATCGAGAAAAATATGTATGAAACCTGACAGTATACTTATTATAATGCAAAGTGTTCTAAAAGTCATCTACTAAATGAAAACGAATTTGAATAGTTTCATTGTGCTGTAACCAAATCAACTTATTATTTTTTTTTCGACGATTAGGGAGTTTTGACTCCACATCCACTGAAATTGTGGACTCGCAACTCCATACTGATGATAGAGAGACGATTCAAATAACGTTCAAAGATATTCATTTTGGCTCAAATCGTGAAGTTTTACATAACTTACTCGAAATCAATGAGAAGACGTTAGATTTTGAAAATTTTATATCTAGGAAAGACTGCATTGAAAGATTCTGGCCTTTTTCCTACATACAATAGTCTAAGGGAGAGCTTTTTATGGATTAAGTTTCCATCTTTGAAAATATGGGACCCTATTGAAGGCGGTAGCAGCGAAGTCAAACTTCTATGGATTTTTGAATCCTAATAGATTTTTTCGAATTTTAGCTAGACTTTGTTTTACTCTTTCAGATTTTCTAGCTTTTTTTTTCGGATTATTTTCGATTAAATTACAGAAAAATTCGCTTTTTGTTACTTGAGTCCTACAGAAATAATTTCAATAGCGTGGTTAACACACAAAAAAGATACGATCTCCTTCACTTATTGTTCTAGTCTAGTGGTCCTTCACTAATGGATAAAATATGAATTCAAAAATCTTTATTTAAATGCGAATCTTATCTACAGAGATTCTTGTTGATGAGAAAGAACCTAAGTTTTGTATTATAGTCAAAAGTGATAACTTTGAAAATAACTTGCTAATTTCTTGCATCAGAATGAAAACTTTGATCTCTTGTCTACCACTAGAACAAAGAATTAGCCGATTTCTTTAAGGATCCCTCCACCCTTTTCAGTGTTTCTTGGGAACACAGCTCATCAGAAAATTTTGAAGTTTTCAAGGCAGATAGACCTTGATAACTAGAGCAAAAACTGTTGTTGTCATAGACTCGAAGTTTTCAGATGCTGTCTTCTATGAGATCAGTATAGCCCCCCTTTTCATTGCCGTTTCTCCGAGACATTATGTCTGATGAAGCTGAAAATTTCTTTTTGCGGGCATTCATTAGACACTGTTTGAGGTTGATAACTTCTTATTTTTTGTCCTTCGAATAAAAAGGCCAAAATATCGAAGGTACCCTAAAAACCACATATTTTCTCAGAGTCACCACATATGCAAAAAAAAAAGTTTCAGTTCGATCGGATGTACTGAATCGATCAAGCCGGAGCATTTCTGCACGGTTTTTTTTCATGAAAAAGTTGGTTTGAGAAAAACATGAAACAATGCATAGTTTTCACTAATTTGATGTGTACCCGAATTCCTTTTTAGACAATAGACGGGGGAGGCGTATCCTTGAAACAAGATGGAGATATTTAAATCTTCTTTTCGTATGCGACTTTTTGGAATACTCTGAATATTAAAACTATTTCCAAAAAAAAGGAAAGATAATGAGATATAATAAAAGTTTACAAAAAAAAAGAGTTGATAAATTTGAATTCAATAAAGTTCATTCGTTGGTTGAGTCCCGTTTCATCGATCAATTTTACTCAGCAGTATTTTATGAAAAAAAAAATAAGTACAACATAGCATTAGAAAAAACTATCGTAATCATAGAACTGAGAACATAATTCAGTAGTTCATAAGATGACTGCAATAAAATATTCTTGTAATATTGTACTAATCTCATTCAAATAGTCATCTAATGACAAAGAACTTTTTTTTCATATCGTTTCATTAAATTGAGAATTGATTGATCTTGAAAAGAAATTTTTTTATTTTGTCGACTCTTGTTCATATTGTTTTCATCGTAGTCACGTTAAATTCATAATCTTTCTTTAATTCATAAATCAATACATATTATTTTTGCATTGAATGTGGCAATATTTGGATTACGTCGATGGTGCCAGCCATCGAGGGTGTGGAAGTAAAGAAGTCCAACACCTACGCCCACATCCACTAATCAAAAGCATTGTTCTGGTCTTTCTATTGATGGTAATGTTCATTTTAAAAATGTCAGATACTGTCATTAGTGTTTAGTCTTTTTTCCTTTTTCTCTAAAGTTACATTGCTTCAGTAAAATTGCAAATTTTTCAGAAAAAAACTTATGTCAATGAAACAGACAAATATCCTTAATGTTACTCTTTGATTTTATCTCATTTGTAAGATTTCTAATTGCTTATGTAGTTTCAATTAGCTTAAAATGTTGTCAATGCTTCTTGTATGAGTAATAGTACTTTTGTACTTAACATTCATATTGAAGTTTAAATCTTTCATAAGCAAAAAAAAACAGTCTAAAACTCTGACAAAAACATGATTTTCATCGGTTTGTTTCTTCTTGCATTCAAATATGATTAATAAATTCTCAATTATTTCTTCACTAAGTGAAGTATCTCTTGAATCGAATTTCAAGAAAAATAATCTTAAAATTTTAATCACTCTTGTTGAACAACACTTGTGATGTTATTTTTTTTAATGCAATAAAGTAATAAAACTTCAATCAAGTACATTTTAACAAGTTTTTCAATATCGTAAAAAAAAAGAGAAACTTTTTTATTTTTTTAAAAAGAATTCATATTAAGAATAAAAAACCAAAAACTAGGAAAATTTTTTACAATTCATCATGAAACTTCAGTTGTGATCGTGGTATTGTATATCGAATTGTTCGATAGTTAAATCGTTTTGTGCCTCCAACAATTTCATTTGAAGATGTTGGTGGTCGTATTTGTGAACCTGAACGCATTAAATTCAATTTCCAAGCTAATCCAAATCGACTACTTAGACTTGTTCGATCACTCCAGCATGCACTACTTTTTCGACTATGTGTTACTGATAAATTGTCATCTATATATGGTATAGGTTCATCATCATGGAGATGTTGTTTAATAGCTGTTTCAATAGCACTACTAAAATATGATGTACGAGGTGATGAATAAAGAAAATAAGATGGTGGTGGTAAATTAGCTATAACAGTTAAATTTGACGTTTCAGAACTATCTGTTTCATTATAATATGATGAGGAATTCGTTTGCTCTTCATCAATAGTTAATTTGATAGGAGATGAAATTAGAAGTCTAACAAAAAGAAGAAGAAAAAATTATAAACATAAATAAATTTTGATATACCGATCTCCATCTGGTGTTTTTCGTTGTTGAGATTTATTCATTTGAGTATTTTCATCAATATTATTCGTTTTAACTGTTCGTTTAGTCAAAATAGTAATTAACATAAGAATAACAACAACAAGAACAAGTAAAGCAAGAAGACAAACACCATATAACCATATCGGATCTAATAAAGTTTGTTCGAAAAATGTTGATGGTATATTAATCTAAAAAGAAATCAACATATCGTTTCTTTTTCATTTTCATTTGAATCAATCATACATGATGTTTTATATCTTGATAAATTTGTTGCTGGTGACGTTTGAGTGCAAGTAAAAATTGATCATTAGTCAGTGCAATGTCTTGACGATAAGGATCTTTAATAAATACAGCTACATATAAATGACGATCGTCTAACTGTTCTTCATAACTTTGTATAATAACATGGTCCGCTCTATTAAAACAATCGAAATATAATTAAATAAGTCAATACAAAAAACAAACTATATTTATCTAAATATATACCTGACAGCATCTGTATCATTACTTAAACAAGTATTATGACTAATTGAACAAAATTTTCGTACAACTTTTGCAATACTTTGACGTAAATTACGATAAATAGTCTGTTCAAAATTTTCAAGTGTTGTATTTTCAACAATTAATGTTACACTACCACGACGAGCATATGGCCATAAATGATGATGTATATGTGTGTTATTCATTGATACTGTTAGACAGATTATAAAAACCAGTTGATGCAAGTTTGATAATAATTCCAGTTGACCGATTCTCCTTTTTTTTTGATTCTCTTATGATGAATGAAAAAGTATTGACCGTCGACTAGTAACAATAAAAAAAAAACTCAATCGACAATGTATGTCTATCCTTTCTATAGAGGTGCGTGTGCGTGTGTGTGTGTGTGTAAAAGACACTAAAGGCTATTATTCCATGAGAAGGAGTGAATAGTCTTAATGACTAGTTACATCATAAGACTTTCTTTCAATTTATTTTTTACTCAAGTATTTCATTTGGTTAGAGAAAAAAGAAAAAAAGTACTCACATACGGCTCATTGCACGTTTGACTGTTTTCTTATTAATGCACACCTTTGTGTATATTATTATTGATTACCAAACATTGATCTGTAAAAAAGGCAACAAAAGAAATTTAATTAAAGCAAAATTTTTTTTTCTTTTCTTTTTTTTTTTTTAACTTACTCTTAAAAAGATTCAATAGATATACAATAATCTATATATCGTTACAATGTTCAGTATGGTCTTATCGTTTGACTCTTTGATTGTAATTCTATCTTGACCCTACGGCTTTCAATTGAAAAGCATAAAATCGATAATAGATGCCTATAATATTACTTTTGCTGTTTTTTTTTATTGTTGTTGTTATTGTTATTATTATTTTTATAGATGGATTCAATAAAGAATGGTTACTTGTATTGTCTGAAAATGAATAAAGTAAAAGAATAACTCAAAATGAACACAATGCGTGTTGAATGTTCATTAGAGAAATGTATGAACTGTGAGTGCATTACACATTCTCTCTCTTTTTTTCTCTCTCTCTCTCCTTCATTCTCTTCAATGTCTCGACACATACATATAGACAAGAGAGTATAATTACGGTTGTTTCGTGTCTTGTACAATTGATGAGAAGAAGAAGACGAAAAGAAGTGAAAATATCGACACGTTTCTTCCCTATTAAATCAACAGAGGAGTTTTAAGTGGTTGATGACGAGTACGTACATGAGACAGAAAGAAGTTTTTTCTTATTTTAATACCTGTAATCATGATGTATTGTGCTAACACACGAAATGTCGCCATTAGTGCAACGTGCTCAAACAAAAAACAAAATCCAAAGAGTGCCGCTTGTGCGCATACTTATTTTTCTTTTTTTTTTTTTCAATAATATAAAATGAATAAGAATAGAACGAATTGATCAATCGAATAGTCTTAAGTCGTTCACAAACAGTACATAAAACAAGAACATGAATAGTACAAGTAAATTCAATTCGCCATCAATGTTTTCTGATAATGATTCAATAATGACGGTAAAATGGCATATCTTTATTTTTTTCTTTCGAAACAATAATCTTTTAAATGTCTTAAAGAATTCAAAAAATGTTGCTTCATTTCAACGTATTTTATATGGAAGACCACCACCAACAACACCACGAACTGAACAATCATATGGTATAGAGAATTCAAATGCTAATGATCATACTAAAGATCCGTTGGCTCGTTCAGTGTTAATCGATAGTGCAGCTCGACAACCAGGTTTTCTTCCGTATGCATATCGATTAGCAAATACATTTGATTCAATTCGTCGACGACGTTCAGAGTATAGATCAACATCGAAACCTTCAACAATAACACCACGGACATCTTTTCGAACGTCACCACGTTTTGATGCTTTTGGTAATTTAACAAGTACAATGAGTAAATTAGCCGAACAACGTTTAATTTTACGTGAAAAATTAATTAAGAAAAAACAGAATTCATCACAAGTTGGTGATAAACAAGAAAAGAATGTTATTATGAGTGATGCTGATTTTGCAACGGATATACCAAATGCCCTTGAATTTGTTTTACAAAATAGTAAAGGAAAAAGTACTATGGAATTAAATTTATTTGAAACATTAAAACGAGAACGTTTAGAACAAGCTCGTTATCGACTTTTACCAGTAAATCGAGCACCATATGCCTAAAAAAACTTCAATATTTATTACGTATATATAAATTTATATATATATATATATGTTCTTTTTTAAATTTCATATGCTTATAATTATAATAAAAAATAATCGAAATAAAGAAGATTATTTTCAAATGAGTGTCAAGTATAGTAAAATTTATGGTTTCAGATGGCATAGATTTTTTTTTCACTTGCCGTTGATGACTAAATCTTGATTGAATAGGAAAAATGAGAAACGAAAGAAAAATAAAACTGCAGTTAAATAGAAAATAAAATTTTTATGGTGCGTAATTTAATGCATAAAAATAGCAGAAGTACAAACGAAATTAAATATTATTATTAAATTTATATTTAAAATCATCAAAAGTAGTTGTATTTAATACAATGATAAAAGAACGTTACTGTTTTTTGAAAGTTATACAGATTCAAGGAATCCATGATAGTTGTACTTTTTGACATTTTCTTTCCGACGGAACTCCTAGCAATCGAAAATTATATAGAAGTACACTAAAATTAGATATAAATGTTGTCATTACTATCACCTATGATTATCGCGCGAGTTTTTCGCTGAACATTGACATTCTTGTTATCAATTTAATAATTAAAGCAAATGATCATCTTTTGTATCAGTTTAAGAAAAATTGGACAAAGTCTATACTTCATTTCAATGTTTGATAATAATTCTATCGTCAAAGATATATTTAATGTGTACAACACGAAGTAGATGAATCTTTTGTACTCAATCATGCGTAACATATTATACGTATTCGTCTTGAATATGATGACATTGTATAGTGAGTGAATTTTTTTCTCATCAATGAACCTTTCGCACTTATATTCGCTTATTTTATATGCTAGTGATTTTTCTTCTGATAAAAATATACAAAAATTTCTATTTATAATTTAATTATTAAAAAATGATTATTTATAGTAAGTAGATGATTCAATATAAGCAAATGAATCTAATTAATATACAAGCTGTTCAAAATGTCATCTAACAAATAAATGCTGTTGCTAATCACAGGAAACTTGTTTTATTCTATCTATTTCAGAACACATTTCTTCACTCTCCTTTTACTTTATCCTTCAAGAATGTGTAATAAAAAAGTATTTCATATATTATAACAAGGCGTTACTGATATACGATCTGTGATTGTATATCAGCAATGTCTGTCACAGTCTATCATGGTCCCTCACAGGTGTCTGTGGGAAGAGATGCAAATTTCTATCCTATGTACTTCAACACTCAGTTTAGATTGTTTCAAAAAAAAAAATTTGTGTATCTTCATCATATTTTGACTTGATGAGCTAATTTTTTTACCTGATAATAAAGAAGAGTTCTAAGTGTTTTTTTTTATACGCAAAAAGTTTACAAGCATCGCTTAATATTGTTCTTTTCTAGTTTGAAGAAAAAAATTTACAATTTTTATCAAAAGATAAACGATAGACTTTTGGTTTTTGTAATATAATTTGAATCTATCATGTTCTCAATTTGCTAATTTATCAACCATACTTGAATGCAAGATATGATGCAATTAGTAGTAGCCTAAAGGATTCATTATCATGTTTGTTATTTTTAACTTAATACAATTTTGCTGAATTTTTTCATCTGCAGCAAGAAATTGGTAAAACAGATCAATTATGGAATTTCCCCCTAAAATTTTGTCAATAGGTTTTTAGTCTAAAAGAATGTATTGTTCTTAAGATATTAAATTTTTCTTTCGAATTCTGAATTAATAAAGAATGTTCTGTGAAACACAATATGTAAATTTATTTTATTTTATGTTTTAGTAATTTCTAGTAGGTTTTCAAATATTTTCTAGCTACTACATTTATTTTAAAAATATATTTCTGAAATATTAGTACCATTTTTCCGAAAATTTCTCAATTGTTCATATTTTCCTTCATTAGTTGTTTCTAGATTTCGTCAATATTATATTACTAAACGAAAGCAAAGATTTCTATTCATCAAGTTATAATAATAGAACTTTAACAAAAAATATTATTGAATAGTATTCAAATGTATGAACTATTCGCAAGAAATGTCTTCTTTAGTCTAATTATGTTTGTTGTTAACTCTAAAATAAATGCTTCTTGATATATATATATATGATCATATATCTTTGACCATTTAATGAATAGGGAAGTTAACAATAGGATATTGTGGATGTATGACACATTAAATTGAGAAAACTATTTGATATTACAAAACTTACGTGAATGATTTCAAACAATATTTTAGATTTGAACCGAAATCTTTTAGAAATCATTTATTATTTGTACTCACTCTTATCAGTATCACGCATTAGCACTAGAATAAGCTGACTTTTTTTGTATAAAACTGATTTATAGAACATCTGTTCATTTTTACAACATATCAGTTAAAAACAGACACAATGAATTGGATTAAATGTAAATGTCATTTTTGTTCTCATTCAAGCACATGTAAAATATTTATTTATTTGCTAAAAGTCTCTATTTGCCTGATCCACTTTTGAATATCCAAGCTTTACCTGGGAATTGAAAATCTCGCTCATAATAGTTTTTTTTAGTTAAAGTTCAGTTAGAAAATACATATTTGAACAACAAAAAAAACTGTGGAATTTCTTTCTCTATAAGACTACGTCGCTGATGAACCACAGTGCGACATTTTTTTGCCGAAATTCACGGGAAATTGAGCAAGCTCCAAGATGGATGTAAAATTTTGTTTGTCTTTTTCATTTATTGTGTCCTGAAACTTTATAAAAATTGTCGTTTAAAGTTTTGACAGATAGATGATTCCATCGAGAATATTTTTCGTTTTTTTAGAAGATCAGTGAATGTCTCAATAGCTATATGCCAATTGTTTTTTTCATTCACCAGTTGAAATGTACAGTGTATCTCAGTATTTTGATTGCTTTGAAACGAAAAAAAAGTTCTTTGTAAAAATTAAGTATATAGTTTGGTAGAGCTAAAATTTTTTTATCTTTTGGTGTATCAGTGAATATTTCATATGAATAGTAAATGACTCAATAATTAAATTTACAATTAATCCGATTCATTATGATTCACCCGTTATTTCATCATTTTATTTGTTTATAATTTTATTTACCTTCAATCTTCCAATGAGATTATGATAAGTACAGTAAATTTGTCGGTGTGGAAGTGAATACTGCTTGCATCTACATTCACACCCATCCAATATTTTCCTTTACTTCTCTAATTGAAAAATATTATCTTGAATGTGTTGTCAAACTAACTTATGATTCATT